TGCTTCCAGAAATAGACGGTGGAACTTTGATCTACAACAGATATGTTGCAGGGATAACGGGACGAGCCACTGTCCCGTATGCGAGGAGAACCATAGTGTCATTTCCGACACCTAAACTTTTGCAGAAAGTTCATGGCGGTGTCGCTTCATTTGTTAATAGCTTGTCTGTGGATCACGGGAATAAGGCGAAACCAAATGCAGACGTCAGTTTCAACTCTTTCGTTGTGAAGGATTTAGATATTGTCCGTCATCAAGGTAAATACGCCTCCTTCCATTCACATCCTTTTTCGCCTGTATCTTTATCTACTACACTTCGATAGAGTCAGACTTTCTTCCTACGCATGCATAGCTCATGAATACCAGAATGCGCTTATTAGTCTTGAATTTCTCCACTAATAAGTAGAATTCCTTTGCTGTCTTGTCTGTTGGTTGGATTATAACCTTCTTGTCATGAAAAGAGAGGTTTCGTTTTTCCGGCCGAGGGAACTCGATTTGGAGGTATCTGCATGCATTGAACCAGTGCATTATCCGATCGAACCGTTGCTCGTCGGCTTGTTCGTACTGTTCTTTTCCGGAAATCGGTCGACTAAATGGCAAATTCTAGCAACGCAACCGTAGGATGTCAGTAAGACAGCGGTGTCTGTTGGACCATTAATTTGCCCGCACACTATGTCGCTTTCAAAAGCACCTTACACCTAAAAGTCGTTAAGAAAACGTCGAGTTCGCTTTCCGCTGCCACCAGTGTAGCGTTCCGTGGCTTTCCATGGGGTGGAAAAAGGCATAAGTGATGTTGAATACATGTATTGCGAAGATGACAGGGTTAACGGGGCCTGAGCTTGGCCTGAAGGACAATCTCTGTGTACAGAGGCCAGACAAACTCTAAAGTGACCGCCAAAAGTCATGTGGTCACATAAACGAAGTATTACAATTGCTATAGTGCTTTGTTTCCGTGACTACCTGACGTTAGGCAATCACCAAGGTTTTGTCTGGTCCTTGTACTCGTGGGCTGACCTTCGGACCACGCCTTGGCCCATTTTTTCTGTTACCTTAGCAGCACATGTATTTAGCGTCCCGAGGCTTCCAATGGGGCAGTAGAAGGCATAAGTGAGGGTGTATACATGTATTCGGAAGACGACAGGGCTAACGGGGCCTGAGCGTGACTCGAAGACCAACCCATGTGTATAGGGTCCAAAAAAATTCTAAAGTGATCGCCAGACGTCATATGTTCTCATAAACAAAGCATTACAGCTACAATGGCTGCAATTACGTCAGTACCGTTTTCTTGAATCAGTGGAAATTGAGATAAGCCTTTGCTTGACTGTCTAAATTATTTGAAGTCATTTTGGAGCTCATTTGCTCTTGGTCTTTGACCATTTCTCTCAATTCAAGCAAGTAGTGTAGCGTCTCGAGATTTCCCACCGAATGGAAGTAGACAGCAAGTGAAGACAGTTACATGTATTAAAGAGAAGAGAAAGCAAATGGGCCTGAGCACGGCTCGAAGGCCAACCCACTAATACAAGGGCCAGACAAATCCTGAAGTGATCGCCAAACGTAACAATTAGCCTCCTAATATCATGAGAAGTCCTTGAGATGTTGCAACCATTAAAATTTCAATACATAGTGTCCCATTTTTCTCTCAAAATTATAGCAATTGACATCCATATTGTGCGAGGTTCTCCTGTCTGAATATTGCTGCATCTGCAGCACCCATACACTTTCCATCGGGTGCCTGTAGCGATAATACTTGACTTTATGCAAACATTGGAACAAGGAGAAGAGATGGCACCTTAGCATGGATCCAAGATCTGAAAACCTGGCAACACAAAAATGACCCCGGCCAAAGGTAGGATTTTAAAAATCATGTAATGACTGATGGGGAACTGACTGTGTCGCTATTTACATGTTGTAGTTTTGTGGATTAATACTTTGCTTATGTGACCACCTGATGCATGGCGGTTACTTGACGGGTCGTGCGGCTCTTGTACGCATAGACTGGTCTTTGGGCAAGCTCAGCTCTAAACCCTTTATTCTCCCTGGAATAAAGGTACTCAGCTCCACTTAATGTATTCTTTCCTGTGGGACGTCTCGGATGCTGTAGTGGATATTTGTGACTTGGTTTCGACTTCTACTACAGCACTGAATTACCGCTCTTTTTACTAGCGTTGTAATATATATAGTGTTTAAGTTGACCCTTATCGAAGAGAGGCGGTACCCGAAGGGGAACTTGGATCCCGTGTGTGAGGACCATGAGGAATCCCTCTCCGGGTGATATCTGCTATTCGGCTCATCTGTAGTCCTCTCCTCATTCTTCCCGTATTCAGTGCCTACTAAAACATCTCTTGAAGTCCTTTGTTCAAGGGCATGAGGGTAGGCAGGCAGTTCTTACTAGCGTCTCAATTGTTATAAAACAGTGTAGCGTGCCTCGCCATAACGGCACAGAGATTGGAGACCTTTATGTACTGGTAGAAGAGTCCCAAGACTTTCTATTAACAAAAAGTAGGCGTCAACAAAGGTCGCTTACAGTGAGAATTGGGAGTTCGTTTACGCACAATATAACAAGGTGAAAACCCAAAGCAACCGTTGTTTCATGCGGGTAGCCAAACCTGTAATGTTTTGTTTATGTGACTACCTGACGTTTGACGGTCACTTTGGAATTTGTCTGGCCCCTATACACGTGGGTTAGCCTTCGGGCCATGCTCGGGCTCCATTTGCCCTGTTGTCTTCGGAGTACATGTATCCAGTCGCACATACTGACTTCTAATATCGGTCAGGAAGTCTGGGATGCTACAAAACCCACAAAGTACCAAGTCACCTTCCGCTTCTGTTGAGCAACGTGTCCAGCGCTCTCCTCGAGAGCTTCCCACTCCAGCCATCACAATTTAGTGGTAGCTGCAATAATACATAAACGAGCAAACTCAGCAGTCATAAGCTCTTATGACGCCTAGCTTCAAGTAGATCCAAAGCCACATTCGGCTCAAACACCTAATCCAGCTGAGGAAACTTGTATTGACCGAATGCCAGCTTATGCAACCTAGAGTGCGTAGAATACCAAAGCGTCTGTCGTTCACACATGCACTGAAAAACAAGGCACCACAAGTTCATAAGTGGGAAAGAAGATGGTTGTCAACGCGACCGCCACTTATGCAGAAATTCAAGTAAGGAAATAATTTCAATTTAAAAAAACTTTTATTTATAAAATTTAGAAAAAGTTTCTTATATTGTCGAAAAGTTGGATCTGTTTGCTTGACCGTAGTTATGGGTGCCAATTGCAGTGTGCCGAGACCTCCTAGACGGTATTCCGAAGATGACAGGACAAATGGGCCGGGGCATGGCTCGAAGACCAGCCCACGTGTACAAAGGCCAAACAAATTCTAAAGTGACCGCCAATCATCATTTGGTCACAAAAACAAAGCATTACACTACCTCTCCCTCCGTCTGAGCCACGTACTCGGCGTCTCCTCTCCCCTCGTACACCTACCGCGCCAGCCACCACAACACCTACGAGCCAACCGCGCCAGTCGACAGATAGCATGAGATTGGATCTAGAATTACGTTCGATCTGACAACCATCAATTGCTTCCAGGACTAGACGGTGTAACTCTGGTCTAAAGCATATATGTTACAGGAAAGACGGATGAGCCGCTGTCCCGTATGTAAGAAGGACCGTGGTGCCATTTCCAACATCTAAACACGGATTTCGTATGGGAAATTCCGACACGAAACTTCTCCAGATAGTTCAGGGCGGTGTCGCTTCAGTTGTCCGAATAATTGCATTCATATAAGAAGAAAAATGGCCAATTTGCCCAGAAAAAGAAAAATAGTCGTGGAAAAAACTGTCGCTTGTACAGATGAACAGGCGAATTATTACAACAAATTTTTGCTTCATAATCTGCAAACAAGCAAAAGCTTAAGAACACATGTGTAATATATACCTTTATAGGTTAGAGGCGGGAACCAATTGAGAACGCTAATCACGTGTGTGAAGCCGGCGAGGAGTTCTTCAATTGATATCCCCTACTTGCCTCTTCTGCATCCTATTCCTCATCCTTCCTAATAAAAAATGCCCAGTAAGTCATCTGCAACCAACTGTCTCTTGAAGTCTGAAGTTCAAGGGCCAGAGAGTAGACAGACAGCTCTTACAACATGTGCTTTTATTGCAAATTTATTCCATCTTTTATTTGTTACCACAGCAATCTTCGAATTTAATGTATACAGTATCCAAGTTGGTAGTACATTAGGCACAAATATCTTCAACTTTAATTATTAACTATTAATTTTATACTCTGCTTTAATTTTTATTATCACATAAACATTATCTTAGGCGCATTTAAATAAAAATTTTGGTGCAAATTTTTGCTTGTTTTGATTAACAGTTTGCCCATTATGCTGGGTCGTCATTTTAGCGTTAAATTTGGAAATGGGTGTGGGTGGTGCGTGACTCGCGCGTCTGTCGGTCAAATATAGCGTAGGCTGAAGTACTGAATTGCGATTCGCTGTAGCCGCTGTAATCGAGACATGTTGGCAGTATATTTGGCAATTTCGATGTAAGACTGGTGTTTTCTGATCTCTTAGATATGTGTGTGTTGCATGGTGTGGAGATAGTCTTATTTTAATTGATGAGTGTGATTTTGTCCCGAAACTACCAGTTTCAAACGATTGGGACTTCGTCATTCAGAATCCATACGAGGTAGAACCGCTGCAGTTTCCATTACCCGTCCTAGGGCGTGGTGGAAGTCTTGCGATCTCCAACAAATAAATTTCAAGTTCTTCTTAATGCATCGTTTGAAGAAAGTCATGATTGGGGTTTATACTACACTCTTAGAACAGGGAGCAATGAGCTCTTTCTGCAGTTGGTAATTTTTGTTCCTGAATATTTGAGTCCGTGCTTGTTATGCCTTTGAACCTAATGCCTTTTAATAGTTTGGGCTATTTGTTGGCCATCACGTTACTTTTCACTACTGCTTCAGTACTGCACTCTTTCTTTTTTAAAGTCTACTAGGATGGTGCAGCAGCGAATTTACACGGATATCGAAGAAGACACCGTTTATTTGCAGCTTCTTCTCATCACTGTCGCCTCATTGGTTTTAGTCGTTTTTGTTGTCTCCATCATTTTTTCTTGCTGGTGGATTAAGAGTCGTCAGGAAAGTTTGGAACCTGGTGCGTATTCGATTTTTTGTCTTATTCTTCCTCACGTTTCACTTGTCAACACCATTGTTGGGGGTATTTTGCTCTTGACCCACATGTCAACCCTTTTCTGAAGCATCTCATTCTAATTTGAAACTCTTGGTTGTAGTTGTTGACCATAGCTGGGGGTTTGTTTGTACTCTGGCTTCTTTTTTGAACGCTAAAGGCCAATTCGATTAGTGGTGAAATATCGTTAGCGTAATGCTGTTAGAGAATAAGCAGCCAGATGGGACTAAACATTGGTAGAATATTCGTGACCTTTAAATCCTCTATTTTGCAGCATCTAAATGCGCTGGTACTTGGCACTTGGGCTTAAATCGTTTCAATCAAACTCAGGCTTTAAAGCAGTGCTGCTACCATTGGCTTGCTTTCAATCTCGTCAAAATTAATTTTTCGGAAACAGGATAAAATTTGCCTTCATTTACGGTTGTTGATACGTTGCTTAGTCGGACGAATTGAGGACGGTGATTCATTGCATAGTAGTCCTTAGTTTGCCTGCGAATTTGTCATCCCCTAACTAATCGTTTGGATAGATTTATTGTGGCTATAAATCTTCCTTTAGCTTTGTGAATCGTTGTTATTTGGCTAGTTTCACATTTACCTGCTTTCTTCCACTCCCTTTCAATGTAAAACAGGGACTTTCAGTGGTAGATTGAACAAACCTACATTTTGGTAATAGAGAGCGGTTGGTGAATTTAGTGGCCTCTGTTACACCTTTGATAGAGCGATTATTAATAGTAAAAGCATTGATTATTGGTATGTGGCTCATTACGTTCTATTTCGCCTTAAGTTTCGTGCTACGTAGATGCATCAGAAAAGGTATGTTTTGGCTCAGCATGGACTTGCACTTTTCTGCATGATTTTTACGGATGTGACTGTTGTAAAGTGCGTGGTTTTATGACTCTTCTGTCTTATGCTCGAATCACTTCCATTTTGAGCATTACCATTAATAATTGTTTGAGTCTTCACTGGCATGCTTTTTTAATCTTCAAAGCCGGAATATACAGAAGATTGTCGCCTCGATGGCAATGATACGGTGAATGTTGACGGTGAAATTGAACTAATTTCACTGGGGCAAAACATTTTCAACTCATGTGAAGATGCCGTTAAGGTTGGTTTCTTGACTCTATAGATAACGTCTCCTTCCCTATCATCTAAAACCGCTCTACAACCATTCTCCCTTTAAAACTGAAGTTTTGCAGTGAATGAAGTAACAATTAATTTGCTTTACCTACTCAACTCTACCATAGCTGCATTGCTGACTTTTGTGTTGAAGGTAACATTGAGGCATTTTGAATTGGTCAGCGTCATTTAAGCGGCTCTTTTTTGAATTTATGAAACTTACCCATTCCTGGTGGATTCACTTCTTTGGCCTCCTTACATGAGATTACACAGCGGCCACTTTAGTTTCATCAATTTGTTGAACGGTCTAATGAATGTTTCTTTGCTATCAGCGTACTAATCCCGGTACAGGCGACAGGAATAGAGATCTGCCTAGTTGTGTGGACGAATCAAAGTATTTAACGGTTTTTCGAAGATTTTTTACGACTGTCACTATCACTAAAGCGGGAGCCTAGTTGATTAAGAGGACGAACCTAATTACTACTAATGTTTTCTAGAACGTCCAAATAAACTAGGATTTACGTTTATGGCTTTAAAATAAGGAAACCATTTCGTTCTCTCTGTGTTCATATGTGTTCCCTTATTGCTTTAATGTTTGAGAATTTGTTGTGAACAGTAAGTCGCGGTGATGGACGATGTTTCTCAACCATTAGGATATGAGTTAGGGGAACTTACTCGTGTAGAGGAATTTAAGCCCGCCATGGCGCTGCAATGACAGTCTTAGGCAGTTAGAGTAGTGAAATAGTTTTTCTGGCAGTTTCAGAGGATAAAGTTTTGGCTTCTGCAGATCATTGGGACTGTTTTTAAGGTTTAATCTTGCTATTTCGACTTCACTGTCCTGTATGATCACTAAAGATGGCATATTTCTATCAATTATTTACGGTTGCCTTCCAGAATAAGCTTACAGGTGGGGAATACACCACTTTCACAGCGTTGTCTGGCTCAAAGGAAGGTGCAGACGAGGTGAAGGGAAAAGAAAGCGATGTGGACGGAGCTAAACGTTTGACGGAAGCCAATGCTACTCTGCCGGGGACGACGCACACCCTTCCACGATACAGCATCGCGGGAAACAATGGAACAGGAAGTAGCAATGCTGCGGTTATTGGAATTCCACCCTCTATCATTTCATCCACAGTGGCTTCGACTGTGAATACGTTCGGCGCGTCGCTACCACGGATGTCTGGTGTGGAGAGAGTTGGAATGACGGGTGCGTTGGTTGTTACTTGAATCCAAACATTATTTTATGGGGCCTTTGCCCACACACACACTGGAACTTCCAGATGCACCCTTCGACAAAGTCATGAGGCTTTCAAGCCTGGGGAGGATGAAAAGCACTTTTTGATTCCAAAAAATTATTCCTATTTCCTTTTTTATTACCGTTCTGCGTTTGGAGCAGAAATTACATTGGATGTCATCTGCTTTCATAGATTTACTCGCCGAATCCTGTTTGCTGTAATGCATCAAAGCTACCTGCCTCTTGCGGTGGTTGATTTTGTGTAAAGGCTCATTTACCCATAACACTATTTCATCACAGCTGAAACGCAAGCATAATTTCTGCGCTTTATTTTTACCTCTCTTTTTCCCATTTCCCTATTTTAATGCTGCTTAATCATGGCTCTAAGTTGTCCGGTGGACACATCCTACGACCGTGTTGCTGTTTTGAATAGGCCAAACTGCGTTATTTCTTTAACCTGTCCACTGTGGACCTGCCTCATGCATTGTGTAACGGGTGATGCTATTGTGTGTAGTTTTCGGGGCTCTTGTGCACTTCGGCTGTTAACCCTAGCGACTTTTATTCTGACCTTTTGATGCCAGATCCTTTCGTGACACCCCTATGAACTCGTTAAAATAGTCTTGTTTCAATAGACATTTCGCCATTTCGTGAAGAAAGTAGTAAATGAATTTTGGCATTTCGCAAAATAAAATTGTACACTCGTTTGTGATGAAATGGAGTGGATTTTGTCGGTTCAATTTACATGCGTTCATGAACCTCGAAAGCAGTGAATATGTTGAGGCGACTTATGCTCTCATCGCTTTGTTTGCTTAATTAGCTAGTGTTTGAGAATTTCAGTCCATGCCTTTTCAAAGCATTAGTAAAATATAGCCTTTTGAAATGGTTAAAACACCAAATGCGTCACTAGATTGCCGAAATTTGTCTAAACTTGGAGAATCCTTAAATCTCGAGCATCTAGCCGTTGAACAGTAAGACTCAGTTTGCTTCCCAGGGCTTGGTGCTAAAGGATACCTTTTTAAGGAGGCTAGGACGGTTCGCCAATCAGGTGGAGGAGCAGGTTACACATGTTTTCTCGCCTTATTTTTTCTTATGCAACTTTATAAAGTTGCCTTGAGTATTAAATCTGCATTCCAACGTCGTGCTTCGAGTATTCAGTAGGTTCTGCTTTCATACCACAAGTGGAAGGTGAAGGGACCGCTTGGAAACGTAATCTTAAAGCGGTACTGAGGAGCATGTGATAACATCTCCCTCTCTCGTCCATCCACCCTCAAGTAGGGTTGGAGGCCTACTATTGATATGACTTTTCCATCATATGGTTAGTTTCGACACTATACAAAAGTTGCTTTAGTAGGTGTTTAAAATTAGCAAAACAACTGTTTGGCTCTTGCAAATAACTCCGCCGTGAACAGTTCTCTGTGCACGGGGCACGCGTAGCTTTTTGGAACGAAGTGGTGCATGTCTCGGAGATACGGATGGTCAGTGAGGAAGGTGGTTGGAGGTAACTGATGATTTGTTACTTTGTCCCAAGAATATTGTATTGCTAAAATCGAGTTTCGTTTCAGTCAACCTATTTAATTAATGAGCAATTTATGGTATGCAAAACGCTGTTTAGGCCATTTTACAAGTCTTCATCAACTCTGGGTGTCTTCTGCGAGTGCATGACGTTTATGATGAATTCCTTGATGCAGGTGTAAGCCAACTGAAGGGACCAACTTCTTGACAAGCCAATCTTCAATCATTTTTTTATCAGCGGAGTTGTGCTGTTCTCAATTGCTATCAGAGGCAAAGGGTTTTCCTTCACAGCAATCCACCTTTGATCTCCGCAAAAGTGAAAAACTTTCTTAATGCTTTCTCCTCTCCCTTATCTCGCTTCCTTATAATGCATTTTACACTTGTGATCGTGCAATTCACCGGCCTCATTAAAAATCATGTCAAGTTTTATTCTCCTAGAAAGTTGAATTTTTTATTTAACTCATATTATTTCATCGAATTTCGTCTGCTTTTCCACCGTCTGGGTTTTATTTCAATGCATTAATAGAATGTTTTCTTGTCAATAAAAATTTTAGGTCTGAAGATGGGACACTCCTCTACAACAGGAAGGACTCGTCATGTGGCGAAGGAGTTCCTGGACGAATCAGTATTGAATACTGCTGCTCGAAAATTGAAGGGGTCCAACGAACAGGCAATGAGGCGTCCACCGCTGTCGAATATCGTATCGACTGCTACTACTGGCACACCGCCGCAACAGGTCATTCTTCTGCCGACCGCCTCTACAGGAACAGCTGGAGGTGAACAGGCGTTCCTGCTGGCGTCAACTGCGGGTGAGTGATGGTTCTACCTTTTCAACTGCAGTCTTTTGCTGAATATTGTCCACATTAATTCCTTTGGTGGTTATTTAGCCATGCTTACTGTCAGGCGAGTGGATGGATGGAATGTATCCATGCCTCTTGCCTGCAGGGTCGAGGTATACATAATGATCATTGCAAATGTTCGACGGGCAAGACTTTGGCTTTAGTGCTTTAGTTTTTTTTTCATTTTTTGAACTCTCAATCCGATTTTGAGATACGATGAAAAATTTTCTTTGTATTCTCAAGCTTTGCGATGGTACCTGCTCAATAAGTAAGTTATTGGAAGGCTGATATAGTTCCTTGAGTGGCTTGCTGAGGTAAATATATTTAACTCAGTCCGGCGATGCGATATTCGTTATTGTAAGCCTTTCGAATC